CATGAACTCAAAAACACTATCAAAATGTGTGATAAGCAAATGTGACAATGGGATCATGATCACTTGTTTCTGAAAATGGAATTGTATGTTTATGCCTGTGTGTATGTCAGAGAGTGTCTGTGTGAGTATATGTGTGTATATTTATCAAGTTTGTGTTTGTGTTTGTGTGCGTTTGTGTGTGTGTGTGTGTGTGTGTGTGTGTGTGTGTGTCTTTGTAAAACACCAAAAACGATGTGTTTTAATTACTTTAATGTTGTGCAATGCGATACAGATGACCCGATTGTAATAACTGAAGCAACTGGACCAACTGGAGCAACTGAAGCAACGGAACCAACTGTGCCAGTTGAGCAAACGGAACCAGCAGGTCCGACAGAAGCACCTGCAGCAACAGAAGCACCTGAAGCAACAGAAGCACCTGAAGCAACAGAAGCACCTGAAGCAACAGAAGCACCAACAGAAGCACCAACAGAAGCACCTGAAGCAACAGAAGCACCTGATCCAACAGAAGCACCTGAAGCAACAGAAGCACCTGAAGCAACAGAAGCACCTGAAGCAACAGAAGCACCTGAAGAAACAGAAGCACCTGAAGAAACAGAAGCACCTGAAGAAACAGAAGCACCTGAAGCAACAGAAGCACCTGAAGCAACAGAAGCTGCTGATCCAACAGAGCCAACTGCCCCAATCACGCGAGGCCCTGCATGCCCAGAAGCTGCCTTGACTACTTGTGGACCAGGCGAAAAAATCATGGAAATGTAAGTGGACAGCATGTTATTTCACCCTATCCGTACGCCCCTCTGAGCTCATTTTGTACCCATGGGGTTGTGTTCTTCACGTTTTAGAATACTTCTAGTAGTAAGTACGAGGATCTATGTGAAACTTTCAGTATTTCTAAAAAAAATAAATTTTGGCAGACTGCTATGCAAAGCGTACGGATCAGATTAACGAGTAAATTTCCTCTTTGAAAGTAGTGGCACAGAATTCCCCATGTCGTATGGATATGATAGTAAAACACGACGTACGGATTTCACCACGATGCCTCACATATGTTTTTCAGCATTACTGACACAGCAATAGTCGTAAAGGCACCAGCCAGGACCTTGCATTGATAAATGATTTGGATAGTGTTTGTTGCTGGCTTTATCATATTCTGTTTCTGAGCACTTTACGCAACAGAACACTGAAATATTTTGGGCGGCCCCGCACGACCAAGCTCTATGGGCGAACCAAGCCTCATCATCATCATCATCATCATCATCATCATCATCATCATCATCATCATCATCATCATCATCATCATCATCATCATCAATGTCTCCCTGCAAATTACGATTTCAACACGTAATGAAAGCTCAAAGTGGGTCAAAGGAATAATGGGGGATTTACAACATACAGCTGAAACATCAAAAACTTGACATGTTTTTATCAACACTATATTTTAACGCATGTCTAAAACGGGCTGCCCACTAAAGCTGGATCGGGCCGATCGCCCGACTCGGTCGCCTGAAACACGTTTGATTTTGAGGCGACCCAGTCATCCTATCCGTAGTGGGCACCCCATTTTAAGAGACACGGTCCAACGCGCAGGTTTACGCGGTCCTACTAATTGCCGCCCGGAACCGTCTGGAGCCAGCTGTAGACTTTTTTTGCTTAAATTATTTTGCCTTATAATTTTTTAAGTAATTTTTTGTTTGATAATTGCCGTCCGGAGCCGTCCGTAGACTTATTTTCTAATTATTTTTGCCTTGCAATTTTAAAAGTAGTTTTTAGTTTGTTAACAAAACTGGCCTAATAATAGCATAATCAATTGAATGCCTATTAGTAAGAGACCATATGAGTGCTGCTTTCCAGACGGCTTCGGACGGCTTCGGACGGCTCCGGACAGCTCCGGACGGCAATTAGTAGGACCCGGTTTAGGTGGAGATGTCTAGACAGTCGTGGGATGAAATCTGCAAGCTTACACTGAAATATGGGGGAAGGGCAGCGTGTTACTGTCTCAAAGCGAGCATTTTGAAGGCTATATTTACAGTAATTATTTATTTTAGTGATCCTGTGTATGCACCCAGAGAGTGGTTTTCAATATAGGGCCCAAATAAAGCATGCAACGTTTTGCACTCACTACATCTATCCACAGAGCCTTGGATGGCGACCCGTGTCCTATCTATGATTGTGTTCCTTCACACACAGCCTGCCCACCTGTGGCGATGCCGGGCTGTGCACCGGGAGGCCGAATTGTAGAAAGGTGAGTAAAAGGGGCCCTGTTTACCCCTTTTTTTCCTTTTTCTCTATTACATTTAACACGTAAAAATGGTTTGATTAGTTTCCTCGTCAAAAGATATGATGGAATGACATGTGAGTAAAAGGGGGCTTTCTTTTTTTTGAGTCCGTTCTTTGTTGTTGTTGCTATTTTCTCTATGAGATTGAAAAATTAGTTCCCCCGTCAAAAGATACGATAGCATGGCTTTTTGTTAATAAAGCAGAATATATGTATATTATATAAGCACACACATGCACACACACACACACACACACACACACACACACACACACACACACACACAC